CTCGAACCCCAAGCTCGTAACAATTGGTGTCAGAAGTGGAATCAAATATGCCGATTTTACCTAAAGACGACACGGAGGGTATCCGTACCCGAAGTCAACGCCAACAGGAGACGGACCAGAGACGATTTGGTAATGCAACGCCGCAAACTTCGGAGGGCCAGCTGTTAACCACGGAGGCCGGCCCGTCAGCAGCTCCTGCATCTGCAGCACCTGACTTAGGTGCTCTGATGATGATGCTGCAGGATCACACAGGCAGGAGGTACAGGCCCGCCGACAGGAGGAACAGGCCCGCCGACAGGAGGAACAGACCCGTCGGTTGGAAGAGCAGCTGCAGCGCGGTATGGAAGAGCAGATGCTCCTCAGGAAAGACCTTCACGCTACCTTCGGGAAAGAGATAAAGGAGGTGAAGGATAGGGTTGCTCAACATGACAACCGCATGTCGGAAGCTGAAATCCGAATCGACCAAGTGAACAATCGGGTTGAAAACGTGATGGCTGATGTGAAGAAAACGCGGAGTTTTTCCTGGTCGGCCTACAAAATCCAGTTCGAGGCTGTCATGAAAGCGAACGGCTGGAATAAAATTCAGGCCATGACTGCTCTCACCCTAGGCCTACGCGACCAGGCCTTAATTGTTCTGGAAGCTCTCGGTACGGAAATGACTTACGACCAGCTCCTTGAGGCATTGGAGGCGAGATACGGCGATGCTCACCTGGAACACGTCTTTCGTGCGAAGCTCAAAGATCGCGTGCAACGCAGTAATGAAAACCTGCAGCAATGGGCCCTTGAGGTGGAGAAGCTGGTTCGAAAAGCGTACCAGTCTGTACCTGCGCTCATTGTAGGGAACCTGGTGCAGACATTCATCGACGGCATCCGCGACCTTGAAGTCAGAGCTGCTGTTAGGCTCGGGCACCACGAGACGCTTAAGGACGCCTTGACCCATGCACTGGAGGTGGAAGTCGTGAGACAGGATCATCGTTCCTACCGCGTCAGGGAGGTTGCAGCAGTTACAGTTCGGGACCGCAATAACGGCTACCGCCCTAGGTGCTACGGCTGTGGGCAAAGGGGCCATCTTCGATCCAGCTGCCCTAAGCGAACGGTAGAAAGGGAAGGTGATCGATTTCGAGAAGGCAGTGCGGCTAACAGCACCGCCCAGCGCAGCGGGAAATCTCATGGCAACGCAGATGTATTGTCAAGAAGACTTTGCCCTAAAGATTGCAAGCATTGTACTAGGCAAGAGGGTAAGGAAGTGGTATCTGTGAGAATGCTCAGGACAGACCAGCTCAGCAATGAGTGGAAGGACAGCCTACAGCATGCTCAGCAGGAAGATTCGGACATTAAGCCGATTCTGGAATGGATGAAGGCCAGTGCTCCTAAGCCCAAGTGGAGCGATGTCTGAGCAATGAGTTCGACCACGAAAAGCTATTGGGCCCAATGGGACAGCTTGCTGATTCAGGATGGAGTCCTGTGCCGTAAATGGGAAAATGGTCGGGGAGACAGTTGTCATTTGCAAATGGTTGTCCCTAAGGCCAAAGAACCGGATGTTCTTCAGCTGTACCATAGTGGTTGTTCAGGAGGCCACCTGGGAGTAAAACGAACTTTACTGATGATCCGAGAACGGTTTTACTGGGTCCACTGTCGTGACGATGTCGAGGACTGGTGCCGCAAATGTAAAAGTTGCGCGACTGTAAAGGGACCTCAAATTCGTAGTAGAGGCGCATTGAAATTGTACAATGTTGGTGCACCATGGGAGAGGATAGCCATTGACGTTGCGGGGCCGTTTCCGGAAAGTGAAAGTGGTAACAAGTATTTCATGGTTGTGATGGATTACTTCACTAAGTGGCCAGAAGTCTTCGCCATTCCAAATCAAGAAGCTTCAACAGTTGCAGATAAACTAGTTCATGAAATCTTCTGTCGTTTTGGAGTACCCTTAGAGATTCACAGCGATCAAGGAAGGAATTTCGAGTCTCAAATATTCCAGGAAACTTGCAGAGTTATGGGTACTCATAAAACACGAACAACTTCTTACCACCCACAATCTGATGGAATGGTAGAACGATTTAATCAGACATTGGAAAGGTACCTGGCAAAAGTTGTGGAAAAACGGCAACGAGACTGGGACAGGCACATACAACCGTTTTTGTTGTCATATCGAATCGCTGTTCACGAAAGTACATCAGTGACGCCAGCTTTCGCAAACTTTGGGAGAGAATTGCGGCTGCCTGCAGACCTGATCACCGGAATACCACCTGATGCCCCACGCAGTATAACCGATTATGCAAATGACTTGCGGAACAAAATGAATGACATTTATGAGCACGTCAGACAGACGGGCCAGCAAACGTCTGAGAAGATGAAAACACGGTATGACCGCAAAATGAACAACAAGGGGTTTGATAAAGCTTCACTAGTGTGGTTACACAATCCAGTTCGCAACAAAGGGAAATCTCCTAAGCTTCAAGCTAAATAGGACGGACCGTACCGGATTGTGACAAGGATCAATGACGTAACCTACCGGATACAGAAAGGTGCCAGAGGTACACCTAAGATTGTCCATGTGGATCGACTGGCCGGTTATTATGGGGCCAATAATGCCCGGGACGAGCATGTCTTAGGAGGGGGCAGTGTTGCGCGCCACTATTAATGTCTTGTACATGGCAACACTAGTTACACTAGCGCCCCCTAGTGTCGAGTAAATGAAAGTGTTGCGCGCCACTATTAATGCCTTGTACATGGCAACACTAGTTACACTAGCGCCCTCTAGTGTCGAGTAGCAGAACTAGGAGAGTAGATCCTTCCAGAATTTTCGGGACCGATATGTACTCGAACATTCTAGATGTCGCTACAGTAAAAGGTTCTGGAAACTATCTGAGGCCCTATATAAGGCCGGTATAGACCACGACCGGGGCAGTATTGAATTGGCGATACAAGAGAATACTTCGAAGCGAAATAACGGCGAACTGTGTTTCATTATTAGTGTGATTTTAGATTGTAATTAGTGTTGTGTAATTAAAGTGTCAATTTTGGTAATACAATCGGCAGTTTTTAATTGTCTCGAACCCCAAGGTCGTAACAATATGTATATACAAGTAGGTCAGTGATCCACAGTAATAATCAAATGGCGGCTGTACTCGTTCGTCGAGATATCACGGGACAGGCCGAGTGCGAGTGTGTACATGGTGCTCTCGTCACGTTGCGTCGCGTCTCACAGTCTTCGTTCTCTATCGGAAGCGTGTCGGTTTTTGCACTCGAGTCAAAGGGTCTCGTGAGTTTCGTGATGAAAACAAGGGCGCGACTCTACGCACTTGTTCGTTTAGTTTAGTACAACTAATCAACCAAAACCATCACTATCCACCACTTTCTTCTTCGCCATGGCTTGTTAATGTTCTTTTTATGGCAAATGTGTAAAAATTATAATAACTAACATCACATAGGCAAAACGCAGCAACAGTTTCATCAGGTCGTAGGTTTACTGCAGCGGGCATCCGGAGTTCAAGTGATACAACGAGTGTGTTCTCGTGTCGAGCCTCTACGCGACGAGACGAGTACAGCCGCCATGAGGGCTTTTATCAAAGTTGTACTTTTATGTATTCACACAATATATTTTCTTTGATTATGAAAAGTAAGCAGTAAGATTACAATCTTACATAGTTAAATTTATTTACAATATTTTTTAAACATTACCCCCACTCTAGGATTTACTCCTGTATCGTGGAGATAGTTTACAAACACAAATTGCACAAGGACAAATATCCAGACCCGGAACAATTATTTGTAGGCTATACGAATACTTGTTACGTGCGCGATTCGAACCCGCGGCCTCCAGCGCACCAACTCATTGCTAAGTCACTGCGCCACGGAGCCGTCATTTATTATTTACAAATTAATTATTAATAATTAATTTGTAAATAATTATAGCGGAGGCGATCGCGATTGATCGCAACACTTTAAAGTATTCGATCAATTGTGATCGAATACATTATGTGGTGGTGGATTGCCGCGAGATCGAATCACAAATTTCAGAAAAATTAGATCATTTTAAGTTTTAAGCCATATCCGTTCATGCCCCGCTCATTCGCTAAGCGAGTCTCCATTCTCCACGTACACTCTTACGCGATCCGTGACCCACGTATGGTGCCTTTTTTCTTTTTTTTTTAGTGTGTGTGGGCGTGTTTTATACTATTTGCTGTGAGTAGTAATTCAATGAACATATTTATTACATATTTATATTCACAATATATAAATAATATAACAGCTCGCATATTGAACGGTTATAATTGATAAAAACCATGTCCATTAGTAAAAAGCGGTTCTAACTGTAATTTTACATATAGAATAAGTAATAAGTATTAATCAAACTTTGATTATGGTTTTCGTTGGACTTTGATAATCAAAGTCCAACGAAAACCACGCTCTCACAGAATATCAGCGTAAAATGGCAGCTTGACACTGCTGTGTTTCGTATGGTGAGTATAGAGAACCGGAGACCCTTTTTACTGCAAAAGAGGCATTCCATCTTTGTCCTCACGGGTGGCAACGCATCTGCATTTTTGATTATTTATTGAGGATAGATGTACATGTCTATGGGTCACAACAACGACTTACCATCATTGTTCCAGATTCCACTTGATATATATATATATATATATTATAAGGTGTATTGAGCGCCAAACTTTAAGCTCGGTAAAGACAGAATCCGTCGACAGATTGTTTAGTAAACGTGTGTTTTCTGCTGCTGCGATGCGACCTGACCCGCCCCATCTCAGTCGACGTTGAAGTACTATGGGAGACTGGAGACAAAAAAGCTTGCCAGCACACGGTTGCGGTTACGGAAACAGTCCGGCCCATTTGCAATGGACGCCTAGAGGTGATGTGATGATAATAAATAGTGTTCTGTCATCTGGTAGTAATTTTCAAAAAAAAAAGTGCAGTAGAAAACTCTGGATTGCTTTATGGCAATAAAGAGCTTAATGTCAATCACAGTAGTTTTTTTTATTCTCTTTGGCTAATATGGTAGATTGGTAGATGGCGGGAGTGATCTCGTGTGATATAATTGTGTTAGCTTAGTTTTAAATTTTTAGTGTTAAATAGTTATTAAAATGACTAGGTATGTATAATCGAACAAGTTATAACTATTTTATTGTTATTTTTACTATGCACTAAATAAAGAAAGGGTTCGTGTGGTCAGTCGTAAATATTCGACATCACTCAAATTTGTTCATAAAAGAACATCTTTGGTTTTCCAGAGCTAAAATAGAACTCGGCGACGTGACACCGCATAATATAAAGCAACTAAAGAAGTTAAACACAGTCGTATTTCCAGTGTCCTATAATGACAAATTCTACAAAGATGTTTTGGAAGCAGGAGAGCTGGCGAAGTTAGCTTATTACAATGATATCGTTGTGGGAGCAGTGTGCTGTAGGATAGACACGTCAGATAATTCGCGAAGACTGTACATAATGACCCTGGGCTGTTTATATCCTTATAGAAGACTGGGCATAGGTACATTGATGGTGGAACATGTGCTCAAATATGTTGAACAGGATGGCAATTTTGACAGCATTTTTTTGTAAGTATATAAGGTATTTTGTACTGTTTGAATTTTTAATTCTTTTAACTTCTTGCACAGAGGATTGTTTACATTTTTATGTATTTATACACATCATTAGCTTCAACAATAACCTATGCAATTCTTTCTTCAAGTAATTTTTTAAGCACCCTTTCAAGACACTTGAAAGGGTGCTTAAAACCAAAATGTTTTTGAATTATCATATCAAATTAGCCTATGATGTAATTAATTGCTATTAGCTATGAATAGCCACCATACAATATTGTCCTGTGGACTTTGTAAGAGGCTACAGAGGGAAACAAACCAGCTAAAAATATAAACTATTAATAAAAAAACACTGTGGTTGTCAACCTGCCTGTAAAGCGTGGCAAATATGGCAAATATCCACCCTATGAGGTGATCTATGGAGGAGGCCTATGTTTAGCAGTAGAGTTTTAAGTAGACTGTGACAGTAAACATTTCATTGGGATTTACCAGTCTGCTTATGAATATTGCACATTCAAACCTACCTATTTTTCTAATAGTTGAGTGTTATGAATAATATGGTACTTTACTGAAAAAACTGACAATGATACACATACAGAAGTGTCGGTTAATATTTTATTGCTTGAACTAAGTCCAATATTTTCATTTACATACCAGTAGCTTTTAAATATTTCTACTTATAAACAATTTTCTATATTTTAATAATTTTGTTTACCCACACAATCCATTTTAAAGTTTATAGTACATAATGTGCATGGAAAACCCTTTTTTTAAATTATTTATTCAACATCTTATAAATTGCTTAAAGTTATCATAATTTAAGTCACCTAATGAATTGTTTTTATTCTTAATTGAATCTTGTTTGATTGAATTACTATAATTGACTTGAATATAAGAATCAGGCATAATTAAATAGAACCTGATAGTTTTTTATTCTTCTTTTTATTGAGTAGTATCAATCAACATACATCCATGTCACATCGTTAACTCGTTAATAACAAACTATGCAATGTTTATGTTAAGTGTAAACTAAGTTTGTACTGATGCTACAAAAATCGGCCTGTTGTAGTGCCTATCGCATCTATATGGAAAAAACAATATATTGACAAACAAGAACAGATTCCCTCCAGGAATATATATGAAAGAAGATTTCCCTAAATAAGCATTCAAAATGTGGAAGCAGTTACAAACCCAAGTGATAGAAAAAAAAAGAAAGGAAGTGTAGTTTTCTAAAATATGATAAAATAATTGTAAAGAAACCAACAGACAATTCCAGAGACAAAAGGAAGAGAGAGGAATCAGGCTCACCTAACTCGTCAATTCAGAAGAATGTAAACACAAAAGATATTCTAACACCCCAAACTAGCAGAAGAACAACAAAAGAAATTGTAAAACCCAATATCCTGAACTATGTTGAACAAGGTAGATCAGCTTCACTATCCGAAGTCCCAAAAAACATGTAATGGCCACCGGCACCCGGAATTAAATCACAACTTTATCCAAACAAACTTCGAAAAAATACACCCCACGCCGGTTCGTCACTGTGGGGGAAGGTGACCACTACCTTCCAGAGAACATAACAACCAAAGAAAAACCAACAAATATTTACATAGCCACTTTAAATACACTTTCACTAAGAACACCAGAAAAACTTCTTGAACTAGAAATAGCTTTAAAAAATATTAAACTGGACATCCTTGGTCTAAGCGAAGTGAGACAAATAGGAAACCAAATTGAAGAACATGATGATTATATCCTCTACTACATAGGTGAAACAAAGGAGCTAAATGGAGTAGAATTTATGGTGAAAAACATCTAAAGAAACAAATCATAGAGTTCAAGGGCATATACAAAGAAAAGAATTGTTGTACTAAATACACATATACAAGATTATAAATATGACGGCACCTGCACCGTTGTGGATGCGGTGGCGTCTGTCTAGCTAGACAGAATTCTTGTAAATGACACGTGTACCGCACAACTGCGGCATTGCCGCCCGTCCTGCTTGTATAAAACGGACTGAGCGGCCGCCGTTAAGACAGTCTTGGCTCTGACGTGGAACGGTGTGCTTGTCGTATTCCGTTACTAGTTTATCCTCGACTCGTTGGATAATTAATTCGTGTAAACGAATTAATTATTATTCCTAACTACAAAATTAGTCTCTGTACTATACTCAATTACCCTTCCTACAAATACAATTAGACCATAGTGCAAATCTATGCACCGACTGAAACAGCAGAAGGAACTATAAAAGAAGCGTTTTATGATCAACTTTCAGCCACATTGGAGATTGCCCATAAAACATAATTGTCATGGGAGACTTTAATGGCAAAATAGGTAAACAGAATCACGGTGAAGAGTATGTAGTGGGAAAGTATGGCACACAAAAGAGAAGTGAGAATGGTAAGAGAATCATAAACATAGCCCTTGAGAACAACTTAACCATTATAAACAGTATTTTTTTTTGAAAAACCTGGCCAAAAAATGGATTTAGATATCACCTAACAGGACTTACCAAAATGAAATAGACTTTATAATCAGTAATCAACCGTGATCATACCAAACTGTCAATGTAATAAATAATCTCAACTTTAATAGTAATCACTGCATGGTCAGAACAACCCTAATTAACAAACAACATAAAAAACAAAGAAAATACTTCAACCATAAAGGGACAGCCTTGCGTGCACAGCACAAATGAATATGCTGTCTGAGGCAATAGATAAAACGCAAGAACTTTACAATAAAGAAAAACGATTTGTATAAATTAAAAAACAAGGATATATTAAATAAAAAAAACACTATCCTTCAAAACATAAGAGCTCATTCAGAAAAGGAAAGAATTACTTAAAATCAGAAGAGATAAAGCAACATTACAAGAAATAATTAATCTAAGTAAAGAAATTAGTTGCAGCATAAAACAAGATAAATAAAGTAGACGAATCGAACATAATATGTTCGATTCTTAACACTGTAATAATACCACATAACCAAAACAGGAGGTATAAACAAGGCCTTAAAAGAACTAAAAGAGGAAAAGTTATTGATCCCAAAAATGAAAAACAAAATAGACAAACAAGAAACAAAGAGACAGCCAATCTTAAAGATAGCAAAAGACTATTATCACAAACCATACTATACCGAAAAACTCAAGAAAGCAATATAGACCTCGAAGATAACACAGAAGAAGTCCCTGAAATTCTAGAAGGTGAAGTTGAGCATGTAATAAAAATGCAGAAAAATGACAAACCTCCTGGAACTGATCACATATCCAATGACATGATGGAAGCAGGATTGCCAGAAACAAGAACTAAACGGACCAATTTATTTAATATAACAGGCGGAACAAGCGTTTCAACACAGGAGACAACTCAGGTGCACAGACCTTTAGAACTATAGCTGGTATACCATCAGGTTCACTAGCTTTGTTCACGTCTAGACTTTGCAAGGTTTTAAGAACCTCCTTGTTGGTGATATGGACCTCTGACATAGAGGTACCGCAGTGAGGTAATTGAGATGGTATGCTGTTGCTACTATCCAGACACGAATTGCAAGCAAAAAGAGAAGCAAATAAGTCCGCTTTCTCCTTAGGCGCATGCGCCAGTGAGCCATCTGGTTTTACCAGCGGAGACAGTGTAGACCGACAGAAGTTTGTCTCGACCGCTTTGGCGAGAGACCAAAAATCTCTACTGCCAGATGGTTTGACAGAGAGCTTTGTACCAATCCCTTTAATGCGGTCGAAACTGGCTTGGCGTAATGCCTTTTTGCAAGACTTGGCGGCTTGGTTAAAGGCTAACATCCGGAGCTTTGCGGTCTCGAGCATCGACCCAGGATACGTACACCATATGCTTGTGCTTTTCAGCACGAGCGCACTCTGCGTTGAACCATGGGCGAGCTTTACCACCAATGAGCACGTCAGCAAAGGGTATGAAATACTCCATCGCTTGACGTATTACATCTGTTATGGCATCCGCGCAGCTCGAGGGGTCTTCAGACGAGAAGCAGACCTGCCGCCAAGGATAGCATGCAAAGAAATGCCGCATCTCATCCCAATCTGCTGACTTGTATCACCACACTCGCTTCATACCGTGGAAATCATAGTTGGGTGGGGAATATAACGACACAGATTTCACTAGACAGTGGCCAGAAGTTCCCAAGGGTGAGGTAACCTGAACATCGTACCTATCTGGATCGGTCGTCAGCAGAAGGTCAAGGCAGTTGGCTGTGTGCTCATCCACATCAGGTACCCTAGTAGCTTGTTGTACCAGCTGAGAGAGCACCAGCGACTAGGCAAAATTCCACGCCTCTCTCCCAACGTGACTGGTCTTCTGGTATGGGAACAGCCAGTCCTGATGACAGGTGTAAAGTCCCCCAGAAAAACTACTCCATTCCAGAACTAAGTGCTTAAATAGTGCGTCACTCAGCTGATAACGTAAACCTAAGCTGCAACTTGAGCTATGTTTATTAATGAAATCATAACCTCAAGATTGTTCTCAAGTGCGTGCACTTGAGCTGGGAAACGTTTAGGGGCGTCCATTAATGGACTTGGCGAATTTGGCGATTTTTCTACCCTCCCCCTGTTGAGATGTCGTGCAATATGGCTCGACCCCCTCTCCCTCTCTTCCCCTCCCCCCAGTTAATCTTTTTAACGTTCCTACCTATGAGAAGTTTACTATCTAAAATAGACATGATATTCCCCCTGAACTGATACACTGGACTTTTTGTCATGGTAATGTTGGAAGGTGTTAATGAGAGACATGTTGATCTGTCTAGTACTTTAATTGACTACTTTCTTCTAAACTTAACTCCAATATAATATACTGTTGTGGGGCTACACTACATCATGTAAATTTAAAATTTATGAATAATTTGACCACAGTGTCACCTATAAGTTCAGTTTAGTGATTTTTGTGTATTTATTTTGGTCCATAAATAAAGAATTTGGTTGTTACTTGACGAAACGCGATAGAATTCATAGAATTTGTTTAATTTTTTTGCATCATTGTTAACTACAAGCCTTTCAATTGGTCTGAAATTGTAGCTTTGTTATGTTAATGTGCATGTATGTTAGTTTGATTTTATTGGAAATATATATATATGCCGGAAATCCATTTGACATTAGACTGACCAGGATATTGTTGATGTACAAGGTATAGTGACTTTTTTATTAGTGATAGGACTCATTTACTACCTAGGAGTCTATCCGGGTAGGAACCACTACCAAATAGCAGAGCTTGCACTGCTATTTGGTGGTGTGCAATGAAGGGTAATATTAGTTTATTATAATTGCAGTCTGCGAGACACTCCATCTTAGTCCCCAAAGGTGACCACACAGCTGTAGCTTTTTTGTTTGAAGTTGGCTACTGGTGTCCATGGACTACAGTAACCATTTACCATCAGGTAGATGTGAGTTCATTTGTATGGGCCTTGTGCCAGAAACCCAGAATTAATATAACTGCTTTTAGATGTTGAATAATGAGTAAAATGGAAAACCTCACCCCTACTCTTAATCACCTCGAAAAGTCAACTGCTTGACTTGTTTCTCATCCGTTAGGGTAGTTTCGCCTTTATCGCCATGCTTGGCAGACGTTACGCACCATTGATGCGGCTCCCCGCCGCCAGTCTGGGTTTTTACGCCTTGCATAATCAAATGGCAATGTACTGGCCAAATACTGATAGCCATAACATTTTCTGGCATTTCCTACAGTTGTCGCTTACGATACCTACGAGACGTAATGTAACCTACCTCATCTCATTAACATATATAAATCATATTAAAGGGATTGTTCTGTATTCTTTAAGAATTCGAATTATTTAGCCGATATTTTATTTTGCTATTGTATATGAAGAAATATATTATTACAAATGTAATTTTTGTGTTACAGACATGTGCAAGTAAATAATGAGGGAGCTATTGACTTTTATAAAAAGTTCGGGTTTGAAATTGTTGAAACAAAAGAGCATTACTATAAGAGAATAGAACCGGCGGACGCGCATGTACTACAGAAGACAATCAGAGAACCACAGGCCGCAACTCCCTTAGTTAATGGATCTGTGCCACATGCAAAAACAAATGGACATGATTGAACGTCAAACTCTTTCCCTATCCATGTCTAAATGCTGATATCATTGTGAAAAAAAGTGATAAAATAGATGATATAAGGATTGTATTCAAGTCAATGTTTATCTCTACTGAATGGAAATTAAGTTACACTTGTAAAGAACAGGTTTAGTATAGGTTGTGGTTGTGGACATATGAGGCCATAAAATAGTTCATAGACTGAAAATTTTCTGACTTCAAGTCTTCGTGTTGTATAGATTCTTTCAAAGTGCTCACAACTTGTTGACTGAAGAATACAATGGCGATTTACAGCATGCTTTCAATAGTCTCATTCTACTGATACATAAAATTTGTAACAAATATTTGAGGTTTGGATAAATGTAAAATAATGATGACTTTAGCTCTAGGCATTCTTTTAACTACATTTCACTGCATATAAATTATGTTTACTGTAACATTATACTAAAAATGTAACTGTTTAATTAAAGTTGTTTTATTATCGTTTTTTAAATATAATTTTTCAAGTCTAAAAAATTTAACAAGGATCACCTCTCATTTAATTGGTATTCTGTTTTAAAATGGTTATTGTAAACTGTTCAAACACCTGAGTAGATCTTTTTGCGTAAATTCATTGACTTATTGTTGTCCAAAACTGAATTATTTATACATTTTTATTCTTTTTTTATTTATAAGGAGAAATAAAATTTTATTAAACTTATTTAAATCCCATTTGAGTTGTCAAAAGATATATCCTGTACATGTGTGTGACAACACTGAAAATTGTTACCAAAAAGTCAATTTGTCAAATATTCTGTAACATAATTTGTTGATTATCATGTTTCCTTGCAACTTTTAGAGTTAGTATAATAAACACGAATTACATTTTATGATGCATTTTCTTAATTTCATATATTTATAAAACTTATTTATTAATAATCATATCGTACAAGGGAATTCAACGGGCTTAGAGCTTTAGAGCATCATTTCTCGAACAAGAGGTCCAACAGAGATCTATCAGGTCGCGAACTGTTAAGAATAAGGCACTTATTTAAAAATCCATTTAATTAAATTCGTAATGAAGGATGGAGGCCTCACAACTTTTTCTTTTAAGAAGTAAATTATTTAACAGATTTCATGGCGGGGCAAATTTCAAGTTAAATTGTTATAAAAAAAAATATAGAGATAATGTTTCTTTCTGAAATATTATATTTTATAATAGTTAGACATGGAAAAAAGCGAACTACGGATATTCTTTAAAGTTAAAGAATTAAAAGCAGATTTAAAAAATGTGCAAGAATTTAATTTTGTTTATACATTTCTCCTCTAGAAACTGGAAAACTTATTTCAAAGTCAATTTTTTAATGATGATGACACTGTTTCAAATAACTTCACCTCAGTCCCAACTAGCGTATTATTATTTTGTTATTATGATATTTGGTGGTAAGATATTTTCTTTTATCGTTGCTAATTTAAAAAAATGCCGTGTCGTGGTGGTGAAAGAGAATACATCAACTCATTTCGTCCTATGGGTGTCGTTAAGGTGATTTGCCAAAAACTAGTTTTAAAAATACAAGGTTCAACCAATAAAATGAAAGCATATCAATCACGTTTAGGGCTAAGATTTCTGCATTCCCTGCATTTATTATATAAAAAAGTTTTGTTGTAGATAAATAGGTAAGTACTTGTCATTTTTAGGGTTTCATACCCAAAGAGTAACCAATGGGGCCCTATTACTAAGCCTCTGCTGTCCGTCAGTCGGTCCCTCTGTCTGTCGGCGGGCTGCATCTCATGATGCATACTAGGTAGATAGTTAAAATTTTTGCAGGCTTATATTGTCATAAGCTAAAGCATCGCTATTTAATAGATATTTAAGCTTAAAAGGTATGCCGTATTGTAATTTTGGAATGAAAAAATGAATATTGTTACGAGCTTGAGGTTCGAGACAAAAACTGCCGATTGAATTACCAAATTTGACACTTTAATTACGGATACTAATTACACCTTAAAACACACTAATACTAAAACTAATAATAAAACACAATAATTCTAGTGATCACTTAAGTTCGCAGTTGTTTCGCTTCGAAGTATTCTCTTGTATCGCCAATTCAATACTGCCCCGGTCATGGTCTATATCGGCCTTATATAGGGCCTCAGATAGTTTCCAGAACCTTCTACTGTAGCGACAGCTAGAATGGTCGAGTACATATCGGTCCCGAAATTTCTGGAAGGATCTCGACTCTTCTAGTTCTGCTATTCGACACTAGAGGGCGCTAGTGTTGCCATGTACAAGACATTAATAGTGGCGCGCAATACTTTCATTTACTCGACACTAGGGGGCGCTAGTGTAACTAGTGTTGCCATGTACAAGACATTAATAGTGGCGCGCAACAATATGTTACATGAGTTATGGGGGTATTCGTAGTACATTAATACAATTTCCAATAAATTTTTGTAAGTTACTGATTTTATTTCCATACTTTAACGATTCAACTTCGATAGTTTGTTTTTGTATTAATTACTACATCAAGTAGTTATTGTTCGAGTAACAGGTAATGTATAGCAAAGTCAACTTAATACCGATCAGTTTCTTGTACTATATACCTAGAGGTCAGTGATGTACCCATAACAGCGTGAAGTTATTAAACCGACATCTAGCGTCGAGTAATAAAATTTGTTTCTTATCTTTTTGGATAGGTACAAAAATGCTAAGCTTTTATGGTGCGTTTTCAAATTGATCACGGTAGATTACTGCGACATCTCACATTAAGGTGAAACATACGGTCTGTTCCCGGCCATATTCCCGCGAGATGGCGCTGAAGTCATAATTTTTTAGATTATTCGGGTTTTTGTGTAATTGGAACATTATTAAGTCGTAGAAGTAGCAATAGCGATAATCGGACATTATACTTTATTTTACTAGGTCATATCCATGAAGCAAATACAAAGAGGAGATGTTGTAATTAAATTTCACTATGTAACAACGCGTGACAATTTACGGGGTGAGGGGATGCAAAGCCCCGCCCACTACACTATCTACATCTACCGATAAATAGTAAAACTACTCGAATCTTTCCATATCGATGTTGCAATGTAGCTTAGCTACCTTGACGATAGATGGCGGCATGTCCACAAAATGTTATGAACTATAAAAATAATATTATGGCGATTAAAATTTCTTTATGTCTGAATGCAAAACCAATTTCAGCACCTTGGTATGATTATTTTATCATTACTGAGCTCTACGTACCTTTATATTTTTAGTTCACAGGTTACAAAGTGTCGCCATCTAGTGTGGAATATATTTAATTATATTTGAAAGCCGACGCAAAGAGATTTTTCTAGAACTATTTTAATAAATTAGGTGTAAAATTACTTAGAAATTAAATTTGATGCCATCCATAGCATCGGAGCGTCAATCTCATGAAGCAAATACATTCAGACACAGTAATTTTAATCGCCAAAATAATATTTTTATAGTTTTCATAATAACTTTGGGAACAGGCCGCCATCTATCGTCAAGTAAACCTCATAAAAAATAACAAAAAGACAGGGCCGCAATTAGAATTCAATTATTTTACCCAGTAACCCAACATTCAATATTAAAATGAAGGAAATTGTACTTGGCTGATTTTTACGAAATGTTTAAGTTATATTTAAGTGACATTCTATATGCAAAGAATCACTTAAATACAATTTAAATATGTTTATCATTTCGTGAAAGTCAACCTTCAAGATATATTTATTTTATCCATAAAATAAAATCTCTTTGAAACTAAATATTCTATGTTCAATATTAAGTAGGATATTTAATTTGGAACTAAATGTCCTACTTATCTCACTAATATAAACTAAGAACATTAAATTGTATTTAAGTGATTCTTTGCATATAGAATGTCACTTAAATATAACTTAAACATTTCGTAAAAACCAGCCTAAGTACAATTTCCTGCATTTAATATTAAAAGTTGGATTACTGGAAAAATAATTGAATTCTAATTAGGGCCCTGTCTTTTTGGCATTTTTATGAGATTTACTTGACGAGAATACGGCCTGTTCTCAAAATGATTATAAACTATAAAAATGATATTTTGCGATTAAAATTTATTTATGTCTGAATGCAAAACAAATTTCAGCACATTCGTATGATTATTTTACCAATACTGAGATGATATATTTTTATTTAAATAAAACTAATTTTACGGATTTTATCGCGTATATTAACTTATTTTACTTTCCCGACGTTTCAAGCACTTTACAGCACCCATGGTCACGGGGGGGACTGAGGTGTATGACGTCCCAATGTCATAGTTAACCACGGCTACCTCCAGATTAAAAATTATTAATTTTTGTTCCGATCTACGCAGTATGAACTTACAGTATCATGAAGTCTTGCAGTTGTATGCTTGGGTTGGGATTTAATTTTATTAATTATGGGATCCCAAGCAGATGGTAGCACCCAGCCATCTTCTCTATTGAAATTAGGATGTTTTTTGATTTCAATAGCCTCGCGAATCATCCTTGGAAGGAATCGGTGTTCTTTAGCGAGGATTTGTGGTCTATCAAATCTAATGTAGTGACGGGGGCGATCCTGTACATGTTCACAGACTGCAGACTTCCCGGAGCGTCTATTCTTCACATCAGCTATGTGTTCTTTAACGCGGGTTTTTATGGATCTTTTAGTTTGTCCTATATAAGAGAGACCACATTCACAATCCAGCTTGTACACTCCTGCATCTTGCAGAGGAATATTACACTTGACTGATGGTAAAAACTGACTAATCTTCTTCGGCGGCTTGAAATATGTTTTAATGGAAGCACGCTTCAAGATGTAGCCAATCTTGTCAGTGACACCTCTGACATATGGCAGTACAGCAGGCACTCGCTCGACTGTGGCCGGCTTCACTCGTTCACTGTGACGTAGGCGCGGGACCCGAAGCTTATTGTCGTGCAAAACTTGCTTGACGTGTTGGAGCTCGGCGGCCAGGTGTTTACTGTCACAGATCCCTCGTGCTCTCTGAAACAAAGATTTACCCACGGTAGCTAACTGTGAAGGATGGTGGTGAGAATCACCGTTTAAATATCTATCTGTATGGGTCTTTTTTCTATACACAGTGTGGCTCAAGGTGTTATCAGGATTCCGAATTACTAACACATCTAGAAAAGCTAAAGAATTGTTTGCCTCTAACTCCATTGTGAACTGAATTTTAGAATTTAAGGAGTTAAGATGGTCTAAAAATGCAGTTACTTTATCTAAAGGTAGAATTGTGAAAGTGTCGTCTACGTACCGCTTGTAGAATCTTGGCTTTATGGGAGAAGTAAGCAGGGCTTTCTCCTCAAAGTCCTCCATGAATATATCGGCAACAATGGGAGATACAGGTGAGCCCATCGCCACACCATCTACTTGCTTGTAGAACTCCTCCTTCCACAATAGGTAGCCAGATGTAAGGCAGTGTCTGAGTAATACTGCATATTCTACGGGCATGTTGTTTTCCTCTAGCCTTCTAGTAACAATCGAGATGCAGTCTTCAACAGGTAGGCATGTGAACAGAGACTGCACATCAAAACTCACCATCGTTTCATTGTCTGCCAGATGTAGGTCTTTAATCTCGCTGACAAAATGGTAGGAATCCTTTGTGTGTGCTCTTGTATGTCCCTTGAGCGGTGAGAGTATATTCGCTAAGTGTTGAGCCAATCTGTAAGTTGGTGAATCGATTTGGCTCACTATAGGACGTAGTGGAGCATTGGGCTTGTGTATTTTTGGTAACCCATATAACTTCGGTGGTTTAGGACACGTTATAATATATACACCGAAGTTATAAGGAAAACAACATGCCCGTAGAATATGCAGTATTACTCAGACACTGCCTTACATCTGGCTACCTATTGTGGAAGGAGGAGTTCTACAAGCAAGTAGATGGTGTGGCGATGGGCTCACCTGTATCTCCCATTGTTGCCGATATATTCATGGAGGACTTTGAGGAGAAAGCCCTGCTTACTTCTCCCATAAAGCCAAGATTCTACAAGCGGTACGTAGACGACACTTTCACAATTCTACCTTTAGATAAAGTAACTGCATTTTTAGACCATCTTAACTCCTTAAATTCTAAAATTCAGTTCACAATGGAGTTAGAGGCAAACAATTCTTTAGCTTTTCTAGATGTGTTACTAATTCGGAATCCTGATAACACCTTGAGCCACACTGTGTATAGAAAAAAGACCCATACAGATAGATATTTAAACGGTGATTCTCACCACCATCCTTCACAGTTAGCTACCGTGGG